AGCTATACAAGATGGGTCCCTCGTAACTTTTCGACTTCTGGCCGTTAAGAAAGAGACCGACTTTCTCAGCTGTGCTGCATACGGAAGCCGTCGGATGACGGACTTCTCTCTCCCTCTCCGTATTGCTTAAAATGGGAATATCATCTGACTACGCCAGGTAAACAAGATATTTAGCCGGATATCTTGAACTGTGCCTTACTTCTAGAACAAAACCTTCGTCTTTGCCAAAGTTAGCAACGTTTCAAAGAAAAATGTTGAGAACAACGTAAAATAGCAAAGGCAAAAGCTCATCTGCCTGGCGACTTCCACAATTAATGGGAAATAACCATATGGCTCTACTTCAACTTTGACATCAGACATGTTTTCTGCATGTACCACATTCAAAATATAGACCATGTGCTCATGTATCTTGTAGCATCTCAAAACTTTTCACATCTTCGGACAGTGTGGAGAATCAAATGCAAGTATAAAGTCGAGGAAATTGGCAAGCCAAGACAACTGCTATATTTAGCATTGCTGAATTTCCTACGCAGAGTGTATATTTGGTCAGAGAAGTAGTATCCAATGCGGAAGCCTGCTTCATATTGGAAGTCTCTCCCGATCACTGCATGCCTTAGCTTTTACAAGATTATTCAGGAGAATAGATTCTCAAGGGTTGGCATTAGTATGGTACCACGATAATTGGACCACTGAGTCTCCCGACCCCCCCCCGTTGTATATAGGAAAATTTATTTCGTTCTTCCCTTCTCTTGGAAAACCTTTGTAGATCCACATTTAATGAAATAGGGCATAAAGCATTTTATCATTCCCGTTCTTCCATACTTAATTAACTCCGAAAGAATTCGATACACCCTGCAGACCCTTCTTCACCTTGAGATGTAGCAAAGCGTCTTGGGTTTCTAGTTTATTTCTTGGTGTATCTTTACTATCTTGCCGCAGTATGAACAGTCTGAAATGGCGAATCTGGAGGGCTGCTTTTGAGCAGCTGCTTGAAATTCTCAGCGGATCTTTTAAGGCATTTTTGCTGACCTGTCAGTGGGACACCCTTAACATTTTCGATCAGTACAAACCGAGTCCGCTTATTACCTGACAACTGTCGCGCCTATTTGAACATCTGGCACCCTTTCCGCTGTTTTGTCGATTTTTCTAACCTCCCCTTCCACTCAAAGTTCCTGCATCATCTGTAGATCTGCTTGACTGCATGAACAAGACGGAAGTGAGTTGTCTTCGAGAGTACAATATGAATATGATTTGTAAGTATTGTTTTTTTGCCCGATTCTTTTGCACTCTAAGGGATAGGGTCTCCTTCGTAACCCAGAGCGGTTTCGCTGTCCTTTTGACCTCAATTAGGTTTTTCGCTTAGGAAATGACATGCTTTTGGCAAACCTTATTGACGTCGCTAATTTCTAACTGGAAGCTGAATGTAACGTTAAATCAGCTCTGTCTATGTCTCTATTTCTTTTTGGTAGGCCAACCGTGCCGCCGCTTCGTCATATCTTAGTCCGTCAACATCGAGCAGCTGGTGTATTTCAATCAGACGTCCTCGTAGGGTTGATTTTAGACGAAGTTCCGTTACAGCCATAGTACATCGGTCGAAATTATAAGCAGCTTCTCAATGCGAAAGCATGCTGTTTCAGGAACTTCTCTGATTTTCAGCGATTCAATGAATATCTGATGGTCATGTTTTTCACGTTGCGGCTTTAAAGGGTATTTTGTTGCGTAAAGCCCATGACATGAATCGATTGCTTTTGTTTCCTATCACGACAAATGACAAGCGACGCTCTGTCTGTTCAGATGGTTCAGGAAATGACAAACTTGAGCAAAATCGTCATGCAAGATTTCCAAAGTTTGCGTCCCTAGATGGCTAGGAAAATTATCGCACTCGTTGAATGAATCGTCTTCCTCTACTCCAGTGACAGAGGACATGACTAGAAGATTCTGTCATGCTTTCTTTGGGGGATAAACATGGGCAGTAGCACTTTCTCCAGCATCTTTCAATATGGGTTTATAGTAATGAATAGACGGGCCTTAAATGCATGCAAGTTCTTTTCACCATGGTCACAATGCGGCAATCTTGAGAACGAGCATAGCGACATGGATGCATACATTCTATCATACTTTATTATGCAATATCATAGTTTGCTCATTGGCCATTTTCCAATTTGCGGACACCGAGGTTAAAATATTTAGAACTTTGTCTCCCGTGATTAACGATATTTTATAACCACTTCGTCGAAACGGCATCAACAGGAACTTTTCGTCTTAATCAGAGAACTTTGTTTTAAAAATCGTCATCTTCACGTACTCTTAATTTAATTTTAACCTTCATGACACTTTCCTTTCAAAAGGACTCACAGAAGAGAGTATGACGTTATTCACTGACTTACCAGCAATTTGAATTAAGAAGATGTTAAACATGCATTTTTACTTCTAGATTGTATTACGACAAGGGAGAAACATGCAGAATTAGCAAATGGACATTAATAATTTGAAATCTTTCTCCACTAGACTAGGTGACTAGTGATTTTTGAAAATAGGTTTATTTAAAGTATTGAACTGGTCGAAGGTCGTAATGGGGCAGGGAGGAGCTTCAAGAGACGCTGAACAAATCCATAATGTTGACCATCCATTTTTTAATGTGCGTGAAGTTTTGGAAATCAGAAACTTTGTTGTTGTTGTTTGGTCACCGCCATCAAAGGCTAACAGCGTTTAAGCATAGCTCCAGCATATGACCTCTGACCTGTGGAAAGATTGAAGTACAATCAAGGTATCTAATATGGTAGCTAATCCTTGGCGTTGGTCATATAATCGTCATGGCGTTCGACCCGCTACACACCGTATCTTTAGCCTCTGTGTAGAGCGATTATGTCGGTAAGCTACCCAACT